CTTTTCGTTTTGTTGATGGAGGTGCTATCATGGATGTTGAAATCGACTCGGGAAGAAGGTAAGTTTGAAGGTTTTTACATGAATGAAGAGTTGAAGAGGGGGGAGGTTACCCACTTGTTGTTCGCCGAAAATACCCTCATCTTTGCGATGCTGAGTATGATCAGGTGCTCCATTTGCTGGCTGTAATCACTTGCTTCCAGACCGTTTATGGTTTTAGAATTAATCTAGACAAGTCCGTGATGTATACAGTTGGACATGTGGTGGATCCAAGCTTTTTTGCTGCTATTTTCGGGTGTGAATGGAGTAGAAATCCTCCTAAGTACCTCGGGTTCCCTCTTGGAGCCAAAGCGAACGAATCTGCCATTTGGGATTTGGTTGTGGGGAAGATGCAGAGTAAGCTTAGTAAATGGGGTAGCAAACACTTATCCTATGGAGCGAGATTGGTCCTGGCCAAAGAGGTCCTCTCATGTATTCCTACTTACTTATTCTCCCTTTTCAAGGCACCGGTCTCTGTCATTAAAAACATGGAGAGGATTCAAATGAATTTTCTGTGGAATGGAGCAGGTGTAGACACTAGGCTGCCACTGGTTGATTGGAACATGTGTAAGGCTGGAAAGGAAGATGGGGGGGTTAGGAATTCATGATTTGAAGACGTTCAACGACTCAATGATGATAAGTGGTTCTGGAGATTCGCTGTTGAGAGAAAGAGCTAGTGGAGAGAGTTGAGAATTGTTAAATATCCTAACTCGGTCTCGTTTTGGCACACTCCAAAGCTTGTAGGGGTTTCTCCCGGTCTGTTTGGGCTAACATCACGAAGGAGTACGAGAATTTATGGAGTTTTGCTAGCTTGGAACCCGGGAACGGCACTCAAGTTTCATTCTAGCACGATCCTTGGGTCCCCGGAAGACTGTTATCTAAAGCTTTTCCCCGCATTGCTGTTGCGGCCTCGGCCCCCAACGCCATGCTTTTGGACACTGCCATCCTAAATGGTGAGAGGGTGAGTTGGTGTATTAATCTTAAATTTTCTTTAAGGGGTGGGGCTGAGAGGGAACGTCGGGTTTTATTAAATCTGCTTGAGTTTATTATTGTGTTTAAAGATTCATTTAGTCCTTGCAGAATGATTTGGAATCCTGATTCAAATGGCAAATTTTCAGTGATATCCATGTATAGGGTTCTGGTGAAGGAAAATTTCCATGGCAAGTCGAACTTCCCTGCGAGGAATGTGTGGAATTCGATTGTGCCCAGCAAGACTAGTTTCTTTATGTGGTTGGTGTATTTCAACAGGGTTCTCACCATGGATAATCTGATGAAAAAGGGGTGGAACCTAGCTAATAGATGCTTCCTCTGCCAGTGTAAAGAAGAAACAGTGCTGCATCTGTTCCTTGAGTGTGAGTTTGTCTCGGCAGTGTGGAGTCACATCCATGGAAACAGCTGGATGGCGCGGACCCGATCGAGGGATATTCAAGGTGTTATTAAAGACTGGGATTCGGGAACCTCGGAGAGTATGGATTCGTTGTTTAAGGAATGTATCCTTCACGCTGTTTGGTGGAATGTGTGGCTCGAAAGGAACCAGCGTGTATTTGAAGATAATAGTTCGCTTGCAGGGGTGGTTGCTCGCAAGGCTGTCAAGAACCTGATGGAGTGGTTAACTGCTCTTGGAAAAGTGGAAGTTGATCAAGGTACCAGATGGCTTAGGGATAACTTGATTGGGATATGATGGCGGTTCTGGCTGGTCGGGGAAGAAGGAGTCAAGGCGTCTGGGCTGGCCTGTTTCTGCTGAGAGTGTGTTCCCCAGGGATGCTTTTACTGTTTTCGTGGCCTAGGAGTTATTAGCTCCCTGGTGTTTTGTCAAGACCAGCCCTGCTTTTCTGCTGTTGTTGGCGTTACTGTTCTCGGGCTTGACTCTGATTTCTTTCCCTGTTTTGCTTTTGCTTGGTTTGGTTTGTGCTTATCTTTGGTGTTAGCCGAGAGCAGGGGCTTTTCAGTAGGCCTAGCTTCTGGACCCCCGTGCTACCTTTTGTTTTTTTTCATTTTCTTTTATTTTCTTTTCTCTGACTCTTTAGAGAGCGCACAGCTTGTGCTGCTAACTCTTCTTGTATTTGGTTTGCCCGTTCTTTTTTTTTGGTTTTGTTAATATTAGTGTCACCATTATAAAAAAAATGCATTAAAATCTATGTGGGGTGAAAAGCAAGTAGAGAAGACAACAAATGATATTCCCCAAAAGAAAGGAAGAGAAATCGTCCACCACCTAGAGTAAAGAAAGAAGAAGAAAAACAAAGAGGGGCCTATCTTGCAATTGCATGACCACTTTCATGGTGTGCAAATTTGCACAAAAAGAGACCCTTCCTCCAACAATGCCACTCACCTTTTCAATTGCAAGGGAGTGCCACATAGGCATGCAATTGCCCCCATTACCACGGATGGGGATGGTCTTACGGGATTAGATCGTTAATTTGGACTAGAGAGTCGGATAGTGGGAGTGAGCTATTTATTTTCTTAAAAGTAGTGTCAAACACTCAAACTTGGAAGTAGCCGTTAGAGAAAGCCATTTTGTTTCGGTCAGGTCCTCGTTAGAAAAAGAAAGGATCCCTGGAATCTTATAAAAATTGGTGGTGGGGGGATTTCAAATACAAGTGGGGTAAGTAGTATTTACAATTATAGGTGGTAAATAGGTTGGATTCATGGATTGGTTGATTGGATTGATCGATCTATAGATCAAATAGATTGGATCAAATGAATTGGATCAAGTCGATTAGTGGATTCATGGATCCAAATGACATCCTCAATCTTGGACCAATGTAATTTGTGAAAAGTTTATGTACTAAAATGTCATAATGAAATTTTTTTTTAGGTACAAATATTTAAAATTTCAATAATATTTTCGTAAAAAAATTAAATTTTAGTTACCAAAGTACAAAAAAATAAAAATTATAAATATAAAACTGTAATTTGCCAATGATCCATGAATCCACAAATCCAATTGGATTTGGATCAAATGGATTTGATTTAAACGGATTGGATTTCAATGGATTGAATTAGTTGGATAGTTGTAATGGATGGTTGGATTGTATTGGGAATTGTCGCCTCTATTTACAATCATTCAGATGAAGAGTAGTTAGAGTACGACTACTCGATTACTTCTTGACTACTAGAATTTACAATCATTCAGCTACCTAAGCTTCAATCCTTTCATCATATTCCTCTTCAATTTCGTCAGTTTTATCCATCTAGAATTTACAGTATCACCTAGTATGACCTCATTTATTGCACTCATGATATTTAACGTCTCTAAATGACATAAAGCCAGAAAGTCTAGAAACAAGCATTTATTTTCAGCAGCAGATAGTTGACTTCCCAGTGAAACATTTTCAGCTTCTAAGCAAGCTATCATAATTGTTAGAGCTTCCAATTCAGATGCAATATCAGAACCTTTGTCAATCTCATTTTCTTTCCTTAATTTTCCAATTCAACCATTAAAGTTGAGATTTCAACAACAAAAGATTCTACTTTCTCATCAGAAATCATTTTTTTATGTTTTAGTTCCTCTAACTCTGTTTTCAGTTCAGAAACTTCAGCTTCAAATTCCTTCTTTAGGTTCTTAAATCTTGCACCAAGTTTTAAATACAAACTTTGAACTCTAAGAACGTCATCAACAGATTTCCCTCAAAAATAAATTTAATTGGGGCTATTTATGTTTTATTTTTTTTATTTTGTTCAACAGACTCCAACTGGCAAGACAATACTTGCAAATCTCAACTCTGCTTGCGTTTTATTTTCATGGTTGCCTGACTTATCCCTAGTGATTTACATTGATATTGTTAAGATAAAAAATATTACCAAAAATATAGTGAGAACTGGAAATAATTTATTTACATTGATATTGTGACCGAAAGCGAGAATGGGCGTCTCACACATATTGAGCATAACTAAAGTTAGCTCAGTATGCCCGTCGACGCATGAGGTGAGCAAAAAGTATAGAAGGAGGTACTTGGGGTTCCTTGACTCGCTTTTACTACAACTCCAAATAATGGCCAAGTGCAAGAACAAATTAGGAAGCTAGCTGTAGTTTAATCATGAGGATGTGTAGTTTAATAATGGCCAAGTGCAAGAACAAATTAGTGGTGTAAAGTCTTAATTTGTCAACCTGGCGTGCTAGCTGTACTCTTATTCTGTGAAATGGTTGTTATTTAGGAAATCGTTTGTCGTGAGGTTCATTAAAATTAATGAAAACAAGACAAGTAATTTGATTCGACTTCAGGGGTGAGAAACTCACTCGGGTTTGTTCCCCCTAGTTCTTAGTTAGGTCGATGTTGATTATTACCTAGTGTTTCACTTGATACTTTACTGTGGAGAATCCAAAATTAGTTTGAATCTCGACTAAAGCATTCCAAATCCTCATGATTAAACTACACAGAGGAAGATTATCCTCGGCCAGAATAGAATATCAAAGCCATATGGTAAGATTCCCTCTATTGTATGGAAATCTGGTACAAAGAAGTGAATTGATCCACTATTCACACAATCGGTTCACTACCATCAATTGAAGGTACTCTATTCATAGGTTAAAGTAATAATTGAGAAATTTGATCAAGATTCAAACCAAAACATGGATAAACTAAAGGGGATGTAATGTAACACCTTAGGAAAATTCCACATCAGTAAAGCATGGGTGAGATGCAGGAGGTATATAAGGAATAATTCAACATTAACTGACAAAACACGTTTTGGAGTGAAATGAATGAGTTTTTGTAAGAACTCTGAAATTAAACATGTTGAGGGTGAAGCAGTGTAGAGATGGATGACCTCTTGACCACGATGCATCCAAAAGCAGAACGTTATAAGGAGAGACCCAAAACGAACAATGTCTTGAGAAGAAGGACGAGGACACTACAATTTCCTTGTCGGTGGTAAGTAAAAAAAAAATTTCAAGTACACTCTTTACATATATATTTTATCATATAGACGAGGTGATACATCAAATTTAATTTCTTGAATAGTAGCTACTCCTCGTAGTGGTGGTCTGTCTCGTCGTAAATCTCCTCCTGTTGAATGCAACGAAAATGGTGAGGAGAAAGTGAGAAGCAACAAAAATTTAAGTGTTCACCCGAGCAGAGCGAAGTAATGGATAATTTATTTGTTGGCATGCCTGTAAAAGTTCTTCAATGACATCTTCCATTGATATGATTCCAACAGATTCTTCTTCCTGATGAAGCGTTGGGAGAGAGCCATCGATTTGGAGGATGTCCGAGTCGACATCCTTTGCCCATCTCCTACTCTTTGAAGTGCTCTTCAACGAACTGCCGCTATTGTTGGCAAAGCTCTTCCACATTTCAAACTTTGTCTTGGTCCTCCTAAATGACTTCTCCTTGTGAGGCTGCTTCCCCTCCACGTCAACTCTCACTTCCTTAACTCGAATGCCTTTCCCCCATGTTTGGTTGTAAACTAATTCATTAATCTACATCAAGGGAACAAAAACAATGAAATATGAGAGGCATCTAAATAGTGACTTACTGTTTGCTGAACTACTGAGAGGTGGATTTTGTTGCTGGTGTTCTGTTTTGTTGCACTTGCTTACAACGACAGCCATGTGACTGTGACCCTTTTGGAACTCGTTCAGTATGTCATACAAAGGCAAATTTTCTGGAACCCTACAAAGCAGTAGTAAGTGAAGCATCGTCAGTTTGTGGTAGAGACACGAACAACCGAAACCACACCAACAAAGCAAAAGTTTGAATGAGAGTAATAAAATTTCTCTCCTGCTAAAAAATAAGTTGTAAAACATGATTGATTAGTAGAAACCTTGGTATTCGACGTATCGTCACGTTCTTCACAGGGGTCTCATCTTCAGGGTGGATTGTCAATAAATTCTTGGCCTAAAAACAGAGTACGATTTCCATACATGTCACCAAACAGGAGAACAAAGAATTTGAAGCACCTCGAAAAATGGAAGGATCGGAGGAGTGAAAAGAGAAAAGTAGTGGCCAGCTAGTTTATGATGAGGAGAGTGTGTACCAGGATCAACCCAATTATGTTGGATGACTGCTCATAGTACACCGGGACTCGACTGTGTCCTTTCTCCAGTATCAAATTCATCATGTCACTGTATATAATCAACAACCAAATTCATGAATTTGGGAGATATATACAAACTGTAGCTAGGACTATATGACAATATGCACGTGTGCGGCAAAAACATCTATCTCATTCTTAGTTTTCATTATTTATATGTATAAAGTACAAGTTAAAATCACAACTTACTAAAATATTAGGATAGTATTACATTTGTTTCTCTTTTTTTAAGGGTTTGGTAAACTGGATTTAGCTACAATACTCATCATCTCATCAATTTGCATTTCACAAAATTTCTGTAAGGTAAGTTACCTTTTTCCATCGAAGTTGTATGCATGTATAAGCAAGTTAAAATAATTATTCCTTACTAAAAATAGGTGTAGTATTAAATTTCTTTCACCTTTTCTTTAGTGTCTACTATTCACCAAATTTTTTATACTCTACAATTAATTCTATCATAAGCTCTTTTTTCTCGCAAGTAGTAGCTCACTGAATTTTTTTACTCTACAACCAATTTTACCATGAGTTCTTTTTCTCCACAGTCATTTGTTATGCAATATTTTATATTCCATCTTTTACATCCAATTTGACTATAATATTTTTATTTACCTTTTAACTACTATCTCGGTACTTATTCCAATGTTTACATGATTTTTCATGCTCTACATCAAATGTTACCATAAGCTACTTTTCCTACAGTCGCTTGTTTATGTAGTCTTTTATTTTTTTTATCTCTTACATCCAATTTCACCATAATTTTTTAGCCTTTAGACAGCTATCACGATACTTTTTAATTCTTCATCGGATTTTTTATTGTCTAAGTTCAAATTTACATTAAACTCTTTTTTCCTATCATGAGTTGTTTATGTAATTTTTTGTTGGCAAAATACACTTGTAGAGCCAAAATTTTCGTGGTCTTGCCAATAATAGCCACTTTTCATGAAATACACAAAATAGCCAATTCCGTCCAATTCTTTAATGGTGCTGGCCAATAGGCATAATGGAAAAACGAAAAGGCTGAGTTGGCGAGTTTCTCTAGTGCCCATTCCATGCTGGATTAATTTAAAAATGGAGCTGAAAAGTCTCCATCCAATGCACGCTCCCTCCTTCCCTCTGTGACATACTCTACTCCAGCAGCCGTCCTTGCCGCTTCTCTACCTCGTTGAACGGGAAATGGAGCTTCTCTAATGGTTGCATCTCACTCACCGAATCCATCTAAAGATCTCACCACCCACCCGCCATTGACCCTGTCTTCATATGCAAAACCACCTCTCTTCTTCTTGCGACAAGAACCGGGTGCTCCTCACGTCCTATACTTCGTCGTCGTCGACGATTCATCACAGAACCCATAAGTCCCAAACTGACGAACCCGAAACTACACCATTCCTCCGCACAGATGAGGGAGGCTTTGGGATTTCAAGTGCGATGTCGCCCTATCCTTGTTCTTGCACTACCGCAGGGTCTTGACAAAGGGTGTTCTTTTCGTTGTTTTGAAATCAAGCACCACTATGATCTAGCTATCTTCTTCTCCTTCGTTGAACAAATGGGGATGTGAGTGAGTTTTTTGTTGATTGGATTTGAGAAACCCAGAAGAAAAGTTTCTGACCTAGGGTTTTGTTCCAATTGATATAGAATGAATCCTAAGATTCGATTGAGAATCGATTTTGGTTGCATGTGAGGGTGGGGTGAAGGCGGCGGGAACATTGACGAGGACAACCTTCTCCTGCCGTCGCTATCATCAGCATCTTTGAATCTTCTCCCGCCGCTGCCAAAGAAGCTTAAAAGGGGCTGTCACCTACAATTACACCGGCAGCTGAAGAGAAGATTTCGCGCAGCCCAGATCCTGATTCCCAAGTGCTTCATTACTTGAAGAGGACTCTATCGAAGAGCGACACAAACAAACACTGTGGGAGTGGATTAAATCAGAAAACCAAAAGCATCAAAGTGAAGAAGACTCTGATTCCCCTCTCCCCTGCATAGTTCAAGCCTCTCCTGAACCACTCTTCTCATGGATCCTGTTTTACTGTCGATCAAAACAGAGGTAGAGAGCAGCCCAACCGGTGAAGGTGAGAGGTTTCTAGGTAGTTGGAAGGGATGGTGGTGGTGGGACAAAATTAAGGGAAATAATAGACGCTAACGGTGGAGGGGACAAGGAAAGTGAGGACAGAAGATGCACGCCATGAGCCGCCATTCATCTCCAGAGTATGGTAGAGAAGAGCGTCGAGAGGTGAACATTCGAGGTTGTTAAGCTTTAGTCGATGGATCTGTAGTCTGCACGGGTGGTGGGAGGTGGAGAGAAGAGGAGAAATTAATTGATAGTTTTTTTTAATTTATTTATATAGTAAAATTTGAAGTGGCATCTATATGGCCAGTGTGGTTGAGTTGTCGATAACGTGTCGGGTGAGTTGGCAACCCAGTAAGCGTATCGTTAAAATAACTAACAGTGTCATTGATGCGATATAGTTTGTTACTAAAATGGCTACATTTGTCACGAAACTTTCAAAATTCTGTTTATTTTGTGTATCTCTCAAAAAGTAGCTATTATTGTCACAAATGTTTTACATCTCATACACCCAATTTAACCATAATTTTTTTTACCTTTAGACAACTATCTTAGTAACTTTTCCTTCCGCATTACGAAAAATTTATGTATTAAAAATGCATTACATAGTTCTTATAATTAACTACAATGTTCACTATGTCATCAATTTATGTAAGATAAGTTATCTTTTCTATTGTATTTTTAACTGTGAACTTTTAATACTTAATTTTATTATTAGACACCAAAGATTTATCTAGCATCAATCCACAACAATTATGTAATAGGTACATATAGATCATTATTTCTTATGTATCAATTAAATAATGCATCAACATAAGTCTTAATAACCAAGACAATACACTAATTTTGTTAAGAGATAATAATTTCTTATGTATCAATTAAACAAATATATAATATAAGTTTCATGATATAGTTTGAATGAAAATTCCTAAATTATTAACTAAACTATTGACGATCTCACCAATTCGCATCACACAAAGGTTTTGTAAGGTTGATTATTTTTCAAATAACAGTTTAATTATAACCTATTACATTCAACATTTTATCAATTTGCATTAGACAAAATTAAAGCTTCTATAAGATAAGCTAATCTTACATAATAGTTTAATTCAATGGAAACTCTGTAACTTGATTTTTTTGTTAGATCGCACATTATGAAAAATTACGTAGCACCATTTTGTAACAGTTATTAGAATCCATGATGATCGATTTTTGGAATTAGAACCAGTGTGGACTCCTTCACAGGCTTTGGAATGCTCCCTGCCTAAAAGAAATCCAGGGACGAGTTTGCTAGGGAGACCCGTTGTCACTATATCCTTTTAATTATTTTATGTATGGAAAGGCTTTCACATAGAAATGTTGTGGTGGACAAAGAATGGAAGCTGATTCTCCTTTCCTCTGACGGCCCCAAACTGTCACATATGTTCTTCGCTGATGACCTAATTCGTTTTGAAGAGGCGAGAAGGGAGGCAAATCAAGAAAATTTGAGCATGCTTAGAAGAATTTCGTAAAAGTTCGAGGCAAATGGTCCATCCCCAAAAAAAGTCTTCCATTTACGGTCCCCCTACATTCACTGATACAAGGAGCAAAGACTTAGTTATCGGGCTGGAATTCCCCAAACCACACTGGGCAAATATTTAACACCATCCATGGAAGGATCACTAAAGACTGAATAGAGGTCTGATGCTACGAATCTAGAAAAAACTCGCACTCTGAAAAATGCGGCGTTTGCCCCTTGCAGCTAGAATCACCCTAGTGAGAACAATCTCATCTACTGTGACTATTTATCTCATGTTTTCAAAGCTACTCTTAGCATCGGTTTGAAAAGTGTTTAACAGGTACGATAGCTAGTTCGTATGGCGAGAGAAGGACGACAAAACTAAGTTCCATCCATCTCTTGAGACCAGGTGACAAAACTTCGCAGCCATAGAGGCGTTGAATTTGGTTGACTAGGCATGCCAACTTTGCTCTGCTCACGAAAAGAGGATGGAAGCTTTCCACAAAACATGATGCCTTATGGACTAGACTCCTTAAAACCAAGTATGGTGGGAGATGGGAAGGAATGAAAGTGCTTAAGAAAGCTCGGGGAAGTTTCTTCGCTTGTCCTAGTTTTAACTATGCCTCCCATATAGGGTTAGCAATGACCAACAATCCAAAGTGGAAGGAGATATGGCCATTAAAGACACCGGAGCAAGTTAGAGTCTCCGCGTGGATGAAAATATTAGGAAAAATCACCACCAACATGATAAGGAAGCAAAGAAAGCTTAGCAACAATGATTCCTGCCGTAGATGCTAGGGATTTCCAGAGACAACACTTCATTTCCTAAGATATTTTGATCCAGCGGCCTACATATGGGGAAGCTTTATTCCGACGCAATGGAACACTCAATTCTTCACTACAGATTAGGAAGACCGGCTATTCTCTAACTTCGCCAATAAGTCCATGGAAAACTGGAATGGAGAGTGGGCAAACTACTTCAATATGATCTTGTGGTTCAGTTGGAGAAAAAGTTGCGAATTTATTTTCAGGAACCAAGGCATGTCGTATTCATTTCTGCTAAACTTTGTGACCACCAAAGCAAATGACTAGGCACTCGCTTTCCAGCGCTCAGCTAGATTGCAATGCAAACCCGCGTACATAGAGTCCCTCATCAGTTGGTCTCCTCCAAGCCCAAGTTGGCACAAACTGAATACATATGGGCGATACAAATATCACCTAGAGAAGTGACAGTGAGGGGAGTCCTTTGAAACTACATTGGCAAGTAGCTTAATTGCTTTTGTAGCGAAATTGGCTCCGGAACCATCATAGCTTCTGAACTTTGGGCCTTCCAAGGTGTAGACATGGCAAGGAAACATACTTACCATTGATTTGATTAATAATCGCACCGGCCCAGTTCATTCCTATGCAGCCATTCTTGGTGCTATTCGTCTGAAACTAGCACAAGGGTGGGTGGGTGGTTTGCCTGAAGCATACTTATCCCGAGGGGAATAGAGTCATGAACTGGCTTTTGAAGAACGATTTCATCTCTGCCTTCGGGTGGCATGAACTGGCGCATCCCCTCATGAGCTATAAAGAATTCTTATGGGTGACATAAGGGGCATCAGCTTCCCCGTCAAACAGTTTACGAGTAGAACAACAACCTTATTTCTCATTGCCGACTCTGAATTTGTTTAAGATTGTTTGCTGCTATTTTTGGTTTCCTATGGTTTAATTCCGACGCTTGGCATCTCTCCCCAATGAAAAAATAAATAATTAAGACACTACGTAAAGATAGAGGAAGTGCCCTACGTGAACTATTTTTTGAATAATCTTATTTCAACTAAATTATTAAATAATGGATGAAATTATATCACAAAAAATATTAGTTTATGACCGACGCGAAGTGAAGATCAATATAATAGGAAATATTATAGAATTTATATTGTTTACTAATAAAAACCCAGTGATAATTTATCGATATTTAGGGATTTAAAGGTATAATTAGGGATTGACAGAGGTATATGAGGAAGAACTAGAGAAGTAGAAGTAGACTAGCTAGAGGTCTTGATAGAGAGAGACGAGAGATTAGGAATAGAGAGGGTTAGGGTTTAGAAAGATACTTTACTAATATGTTTCTTGATTTCCTCTAATTGAATCCCAAAAGTACATATTGATAGGAAATACTGAAAAATCTAATAATAAACCTAATATGACTCAAATACTATTGTCTTTAACAACAACAACAACGACAACGACGAAAAACAACAACAATAATAATAATAAATGGGATAGAATATCGATTTCCTCAAGAAATTGAATTTCTATCAAGGTTGAAAATCTTAACCCATTCCTTTGCCTTTCTCGTGCAATCCAAGTGTTACTCTTCAAATCTGGTACGAGTACTCGTACCATCCTTCTCTCTATGACCTCACCAGCTAATCAAGAGATGATGACACTTTCGAGGGCCCACTCTTTGCTTCACTAGAGAATTCAATCTCCAAAAATCCTATCTTCTTAGCCTTACCGTCCAGCAGCTTAAGGAATCCAAAGGTTATTTCTTGTACAAGAAACTATCCTTAAGTATCGACTCGTGGCGATCCTTAAACATCTTCCATGAAGATAACCAATTAATTTGTTGGGTTACCTCTCCAAATGCCTTTGGGCCATGTTATATTGGAAGTCCACCTATAAATCCAATAAACTCATCTTCCTTTCCTCCAAGTCCACCCTCTTTAGAAGATAGCCCATACTATACTCAATCCTTCCCTAAAGATGAGGTTAAACCTCCTCCTGAAATCTGTGGTACCATTGGAATGCGTCTCTCTCCACTAATGATCTAGTCCGCCCAAGATGAGCCTAATGTAACCCTGCTACTCTTCACAACCAGCTTCATCTAATCCTTTCAAACTAACGACCCAATTTAGTTGGCACAACTGAATTGGTTGAGGTGTACTAAGCGACACAAGGGTTGCACTTGGTCGCAAACAAGAGGGAGGTCCTCGCTCTCTTTCTTCTTCTCTTTTTTGGTAGTTCATTCGATGTCTCCTTCACTGGAAATGGGTAGTGGACTAGACAGAGTGGTGTAAACTATGAGCAATGATGCTCAACCTTTCTCCCTTTTTGGCCTCTTTTTTTGGGAATGATTCAACCACATAATGAATGAAAGGTAAGCCTAGCTAGTACCACACTGCCAACCTACGATCTCGTCACCCCGACTGTCGATGCCTAGATGGACCCAGCTGCCCACTTCACAGCTATGGTGGATCCACCCAGTGACCTGCCTCTTCCTCTGTCTAGCGTCGTCATTTGGTATTGATGTGGACCTTGTCCTACTTCAAATAGTTTCCCGAGTCCTTAGCATTCTGAGTCGTGACTCGGTGCCCACTTCCCGAGTCCTTACCCGTACAATTCACTGAGTCCTTACCCGTACAATTCACTGACACGATGTTCTTCTCTTCTCCTTAGCCGAACCTGACACCTCTTTTTCGAGAAGCGTGATTCGTAATGTGACTCCGCGTTGGTCTTTACTTTGAACCTTCAGCCTGGGATTCTTCAAAGGTCGTTGCCCTCTCCTTTTTGGGGGACAAGAATAGGATAAAAAAGATATCATTTTTCTTTGGCCACAACAGCCACCGTAGCCTCGACAACCTTGTTCGGGTCCTTCTCTTTGGTTGGGGCAGCGATGGCTTCCATCGTAGTGGTGGTCCCTGCAGCGGCCACAAAGAATGATACGGCTTGAATACCAGGGGCAACACCACCTAGGGCAACAATATCGGCCAACGTTGCTCGTAGCTCCTTGTTGGTCATCATAGCAATGGCTTCACCTCTTTTAGTCGCAGCCGATGTCCTTCCCAAGGCTCCATCGAGTTTGGCTCGTAATACGCTAGCCAATTCCCTAGTTGAGAGTTGTGACGAACTCATGCTCACAACCAAGGCTCTGTGCCTCTGATAGAAACCCGGTTATCTTGGTTTTTTATTGATCCGGTTGCGAGATTGAGAATTTATTCATATGGAGGGACTTAGAGATATTATTAGAGATTGGAAGAGGTACTTGGGAAAGAAGTAGGGAAGAAGTAGAATGGTTGGCGGGCTTGATAGGGAGAGACGAGAGATTGGAAAGATAGAGTGATTAGGGTTAAGAAAGATACTTTGTTAATATGTTTCTTGTACGTGTTGTCTCTAACTGAATGCCAAAAGTAGACAGATATAGAAAATACTATAATTATATACTTGATGTGAGTCAAATATATACTACTATCTTTTAACAATAATAATGATAAATAGGGATAGAAGACCAGTTTTCCTCAGAAAATTAAACCGGGTTTGCATAATTTACCGGTCCAACTTCGCATTGATATCAATAGCAAAAGTTTGGGAAATGGGAGTCATTGCATGACTAGCTGTTTTTTCTGTGAGCTCAAGTGCTCCAGCAATGATTGTTGTCTCGTCATGGGTTAGCTCTCCTCCTTTCCCAGCCTGAAGCAGAGACACAACAATAGGCAGTTAAATGACAAGTCAATTATAAAGCTAAATGGAGACGAATATAATTAATGAGGACTATCGCAGCCATCTCGCGTGCTAGCTGCCCAAATGACAACGTAGATCTAACCTCATTGCCATGCAGATTGACTAGTGTTTTCAGCTCAGCTCTGCGAAAAAGTGCAACATGTCCGTTACCCAGCACGCAGTCTAGAATCTGAAATTAAGATGATCGATCAATAATATGAGTGAGCCAGTGATCAGCTATATATACTAGAGTAGGTAAAAGAGACAATAGATTCATACATGTATGGAAATTAAAGGACCATGCTTAAACCAATATACATATCTATATATATATATATGTGTGTGTGTGTGACCTTGCTTATAGGATAGGCGACCGGGAAGCATATCCAAATAAGTATGCGGACAAATGGAGCCACTGTAGCGCCTATTGCCAGGCCGTATCGAGTGCAAACGGATTGCGGTATAATCTGCAGGCCAGAGCCAGAGACAGAGATAGAAATTACTGATGGATCCCAAGATTATCTAGTTCCCCTGATTGAACTACTTAGCTTCGGCATTCATTAAGAAGACCAACAAAGTTTAACAGTGTTAACTTAATTTGTGACTAAACAGAAGTAGCTAGCTAGCTATATATATATATATATATATATATATATATATATATATATATATATATATATATATATATATATATATATATATATATATATAGTTGTCTTGTCAGTTCTCACCTCACCAAATAGAAGAAGCAGGGTGACTGAAATAAGAACAGCGCCCAGTGCTGAAACCAGCTTATCCAGGAAAATAGGGAGTGCCTGACAAACATCAAACAACAGTTGCATAATAAACTATAACTATCTTTACCAAGTACATGTTTTGACAAGTCGAATCTAATGATGTGTACCTCCATGGCAGCCGCATTGCAAATTAGCAGTGTACAGAGTATCAGATGCTGATTTCTAACAACTGGTAGTATCCTTTCTGTCAGTACAGAGACACCCGATGGATCAGGAGAATCGGAGCAGTATATATTATATGTGTAGGAAGATGGGGCAAAAAAAAGAAGAAGAAGGAAAACAGATCGATCGAGAAGCGAGAAGCATATAAATAATTACCAGCGTATTTGCGATCCTTGGGTTTGCCGGACTTGGCCACAACTTCGAGGTCGACGAGACTCATGGACATGAGGCCCAAAGTGAGGCCGGACATGAGGCCCGCGAACAGCACCAGCAGCACAATTATTACAATCTGAAGGAAGAATTCGGTTCCGCAGCATGTGTGCTCCACTGCCATATTACTCTTCCCAACTGCGATCGCGTCTCTGCAGGATCGGATTTGTTATTGCTTCTGTTGCCGGCCCCGCGAACAAGTTACTGGCGGGGTTGAGTTCATAATTAGCTGGCACCTGCTGCGATGAGGCGGAGAGGGAGAGGATAGTTTGGGCTGGGCGTTAACAAATGCAGTATGCCCAACTATTCAAAGTCTGTCTGTCTGTCTGTCCTTATAAATAAATAAATAAATAAATAAATAAATAAATAAAAAGCGCCAAAGTAGTGAAGTACCGATGGTTCCCAGAAAAACCAAAAACACAAAACTATTTTTTTTTATTAATTAATTAATGGCAACATATTCAACTCCGCCACAATATATAATTGGGCCGATCGAAATCTCAATAATCAATATGGGTGGGGTGGGTCCTCCCTCTACTTGCCTCTCCCGGGGTTCTATTGGCCGATGAATCTCGTGTAATTTACTTGTTGGATTATTCTGTGCGTTCCGCGCATTTGTGACTTGTAATTGTAAGCAGGAGTTCACAACTTAAAGAAAACACACAAAGACTAAAGCAGGCGTTCCGCAGCTAACTCCCAATGCATGCCCTTCATCCGGATGCTAACGCCTAATTGTAGTTTCCGCTGTAATAATTAAATTGTAGTTTTCGCTGGATCAGAACAGTACAAGAAAAGGGATGTTGACTTGTTATGAATGACGATACTGCAGGTTATGGTTCTGTCCTCAATTAGAAAATCATATTTAGAATTCCAGAACTCCCTATGTGTTACCAATGGTGTCAATCCCTTTGGATGCAATTGAATTGTGGATTACTTGGATGGCGGTCAGTCGAGTTCGGGATATCGGGTTGCGCCTCCCCCTTCCTTGGCTCAAGATAGGGTGCATAACCCATGGTTATGCACCCATCAATAACCAAACTTGGACCATTCATTTAGAAAATCAAGATTTAAGGTTGGAGAATTAAAGGTCATTTTTATTTTTCCTAGCTTTCTTAATTGATTCATATCTTTTTCGTTTTAACTCGGAATTTTTTTTTTTTGCACAGATGGAACGAGTTCATCGTGCTCTACAAAATGAGATCAATTTTCAATATTTTTTGAGAAAAAAAATGCTGGCCTCTCGGTACCAACTGCATACCATATGGTATCTTCTTCGTTTTTAATTCGTTTTTTAAAACGTTTGCACAGTAAGGACGAGTTCATCATGATCTATTGGAACTACAAATTTCTGGGTGAACAAATCACAGGACCAAAAAATACCACACATTACCATACTATACCACCCTGGTACGGGGTGGTATCTTATGGTATACAATGTTAAAAGTCGTAAATGACAATTAATATACTTCTACTATCATATATTCAACCATCCTATAGTTTTGGTTTGTGTCATACCACCATGGTACGCTTTTCAAACCATAGGTATGCTCTTATTTCAATACCAGTCAATACCATATGGTATAGACTGGTAAAAAATGGCTCAATTTTTTTTGTTTGAAAAATATATCAAAGTGGATATCATTTTGAAGAGCACAATTAATTTGATCTAATTGTGCAAAAAAAATTAAATTTCAACTTAAAACGAGTGAGAAATCGTCCGTCAAAGATTAAGTAAGGGAAAATTTAAGGCTTTACAGGAGAGAGAGGATGCTGATGTCATGCTGATGTGGATGGGTTACTCATGGTTACTCACTATAAGGTTACTGACCTAATCCGTTCCCCCCTTCCTTCTCCCCTTTCCTCGTACCCAAATTTGACCGTTGTCCGAAAAATGCATAACTATGGGTTATGCACCCATCAATAACTAAATCTGGACCCTCAATTTAGAAAATCCAGATCTAAGGATAGAGAATTAAATGCCATTTTTATTTTACGTACATTTTTTAATCGGCTCATATCTTCTTCGTTTTAACTTGGATTTTAATTTTTTTTGCACAGATGGAACGATTTCATTGTGCTCTACAAAATGAGATCTATTTTGAATATTTTTGGAGAAAAAAAAACTCTTGCCTCTCTGTACCAACTGCATACCATATGGTATTTTCTTCGTTTTTAATTCGTTTTTGAAAACGTTTGCACAGAAGAACGAGTTCATCATGATCTATTAGATCTACAAATTTCTTGGTGAACAAATTACAGGACCAAAAAATAACACACAATACCACCTGGTACCGGGTGGTATCTTGTGGTACACAATGTTATAAGTCGTAAATGACAGTTAATATACTTCTACTATCATGTATTTAACCATCCTATAGTCTTGGTTTGTTCATACCACCATGGTACGCTTTTCAAACTATAGGTATGCTCTTATTTCAATACCAGTCAATACCATATGGTATAGACTGGTAAAAAATGGCTAAATTTTTTTTGCTCAAAAATTATATCAAAGTGTATATCATTTTGAAAAGCACAATTAATCTGATCTAACTGTGCAAAAAGAAATTAAATTTTTCTTAAGACGAGTGAGGAATCGTCCGTCAAAGATTAAGGAGGGGAAAATTAAAGGCTTTCCCGGAGAGCGATGCTGATGTCATGCTGATGTCGACGAGTTACTCATGATTACTCACCATAAGTTTATTGACCTGATCCGTTCCCTTTTTCCTCCTATCTTTTGCCCGTCATTTTCCACTTGCTGCCATATTTGCAAATTTGGGTGACTTTTGTTTGTGGATTGGAACTAGGGTCGGAAAATAGACCAGACCATTAGAAAACTCATGGTCCAAACCGTACCGTACAGTTTGGTACGGACCGTAGACTGTTAAGTATGGTCTGGTCTGGTACATGGTTTGTATTATTTTATGTTTTGATCTCTTGGTCTGGTCTGGTCTAAACCGCGATTTACCGGACCAAACCGTGAACCCAACCGACTTGTCAATACGTGTTAACAACCCTTTCGACCACTCTCTCGTCACTCCTTCATTCACAACCATATTTAACCAGAGAGTAGAGATAATCGTGTCTCCATATTAATATTTATGACGTTATGGTGCAAGTTGAGATGTTTTTACTTTGTATCTTTGTTATGTACTAAGATTTAGGGTATCAAAATTATTCATGCATGTTAGGATTAATGTTTTAAGGCAAATGACAATTATTTTTTTGGTTATTGGTTCAATTTTGTGTGTGGTTGACTAAACAAATTATTCATTTTTCATTGAGTGTGGTCTATCTGGACCAGACCAAACCAAACCGCACAGGCGTGGTCTGAACTGGATCGTATAGTTTTGGTCTGGTCTGTGGTCTATACTTCAGCCTCTTGGTCTGGACCATAGACCGTATATATGGTCTGTTCTGTACCAGAGTACTACACCGTTTCCCAGCCCTAATTGGAACCCAAAATTCCTGCAATCATACCAAATAGCAAATTTGGCATTTGAGTTGACTTAGCTTAATAGAAAACAAAATATTTTCTTCATTTTTCAAATAGATTTCTTTCTAGCTTAATAGAAAGCAAAATATTTTCTAATAGATTTTTCAAATAGATTTCTTTCTAGCTTAATAGAAAACAAAATATCTTTCTTCATATTTTTCAAATAGATTTCTTTCTAGTTAAAAATAGGGCTAATACCAGTGGAAATACCAACCTTTAACGAAAGTGCCATATATATTACGTAAGTTTCGATATGCCATTTGTGTAACCTCCGTTAGTTTTGCCGTTAGTTTCTTACTGAAATCCCAGTCAGTGCCACATAAGCACTTAGGTGGACTCTAAGAAAAATGAAATTCAAACTTGATTAGTTTTTAAGGGATAAAAAGAAAATAAAATAAAAAGGTAAAAATCTCTGACGGTGAAAGTGAAACTCAATCTCCCCGAACCTCCCCATTTTTCTCCTCCTTCCTCTGCACACAATCATCACCGCCGTCCGTCGCCCTCCTCTCCATTCAATCCTGACCCAAATCCGGCGTAATAATCCACATCGACCACCACTCAATCTCCTTCTTCCTGACCTCCACCAAACCCTCGCCCATACTCTCTAATCTTCTTCGAACCATGTTTTTGGATTTTTGGGCGGAGTCGCCGGTTCGTCAGAGGTTCAGGTCGCCCATGAGACAAGCCCGGCGCGTGGGCTCTTGAAGACGATGAGCACAAGAACGAACTCGAGCAGCATCAGGAGCAACCAACCGATTTCCCACCCTCGTCGCCGCAGTCGCCGATCTGAAAGCAGTCGCCGATCTGCTTCCCCGATACAACCGATGAGAGCCCTCGATAATCGATTCGATGGATCGACGAGCTGGCCACGGCTGCGGAATCCACTATCAATAACTTACTCGGCTCGAAGCGTCCGTTCTATTTCCCTCTCGATTCGGAGGTCGTTCCGTTCTCTGGATTCGGCTACAGGGAAACTACCACCGCCGGTACTAACAAAGAGTGAACGAGGAGAGAAAGTGGGCAATGATTTTCTTTTTCTTTTTCTTACAATTAATTTTATTTTATATTTGGTCAAACAAACAAACGTTGACCAACGTTTGGTCAACGGTCAACAAAAATTCTCGTTACACAAATGATGCAAACACCTAATAGGTTGTAACATTTTTGTATATATTGAAGTTACATCATATAAATAGCACTTTCGATAAAGGTTGGTATTTCTAGTGGTATTAGCCCTTAAAAATATTAATTAAAATAAAAGAGAGTTCTGTTTACGCTTAAAGTAAAGGGGAGATTTGATAAAGAAAGTAACAATATTTTGTTGCATTTGTGAGGCAGTATTATTTACTAAATTTTTTGGTCTTTTCGATCTTAATAGTTACTACCAATATGTAAAGATTAAAATTTAGACACATGAAAATATAAGAATATGGTAACTAAATTTAAAACAAACAAGTTGATATAATTATACATGATAATATTTTCTCATGATTAATAACTCTTGGTGTTGGTATGTTCTTAATAGATTAAAGATTTTACATGAGTAAATCCTTGTAAGTTTTTTTTTTTATAAGGGTGAATATGTATTAAAACGAGAAAGGACAATAGATGTTGGAAGTTCAGTAGGACTGAACTTGG